CCCCGCCCCGTGAGATTCTCCTGTTCTGGGGTGCGGTTGACGCTATGGGTCAGCCCACAGCTCCCTCTGAAAGCCAGGAGACAGAGCTCACTGAGGTGGTGCCGAGTGAACTGCTCCCTCATTGCGAGAAGGTACAGGCCCTACTCGGAGCACTGAGAAGGGCCGGCCAGGTGTCCAGCTCCTGTAACGGCTCATGAGAAGTAACTGGTTTGGCACACGAGGCACCCCGGGCTCTCCAGTGGAGCTCATCCACAAAACAGACACCGTGGAAATGCCACAGCACGAATTTAGATCTCTGCAAGACTTAAAACTACAAGAAACAATAAAACCGAAATTGAGTTTCCCATAAATATAGAATTATGTTACAGTGTCTCAGGCAAAGCAGCTGCTTTATGGAAACAATATTTCAGGAAGTACAAAAGAACACAGCTGAAAGGTTGTCATATGCTGGGTCTGAATTTAATAGTTTTCACAAATTCAACTGCAAATCGCCCCCAGTCTGTTGGAATTTGACCACAGTCAAGTTTCGGGAAACCAAAAGCTGCCTCTCACATGTAATGCATGGAGGCAGGCAGGTTCCCATCGGATGGGAGCCAAATGAGGTCTGGGAAGCGGCCCCCGCCCGCTCAGGAGCCTCTCAGCCTGCAGGCCAAGCAACCCCTGGTCTGTGCAAAGCAACGGAGAGCCATCGGCCCCTGGCCGGCTCTCCACTCTGCTTCCTGCTTCCCTCTCTCCAGGCTTCCCAGCTGCGGCTCAGGAGGAAGACGGGCTAGGAGGGCCCCAACCCTGCTCCATTCTTGGGAGGTCAGGAGCAACTCCACATGGGGTCTTGCAGTGGTTCCTGGGGTCAGAAAACCTGGGCTGAGCCCTACTCCACCACTGATGGACCACATGGTCATTGTACTCTCTGAGCCTCAGGTCACTTAGCTGCAAAAGAGAATAAAAACCTCTCAAGGTTACTGGGAGACTTGAATCCAATTAAATAAACTAAATATATATATGCAAAAACCCTTGGAAACTATACATGAGAGTTTCTACTTGAAATCAGCCACCAATTCTTTTTACTGGTGAGCCAAGGATATCATACCTGCCGTTTTCCCTTCCAGGGCGGGAGGATGCGATATGTCTGTGGGAGGGGAAGTGCTTTCCAGGGTAGACGTAGACATGCAAAGAGGTGGAGGGTAAACGCATTGCTGAGGGACTTCGCCAGGAAGGAAACTTTCAAGGAATGGCTGTGCTCAGGTAACTGCACGGAACCTGACAGCGGGACAGCTGGGAGAGGAAGGCAGAAGGGAGGAGGAGAGCGGAGGGGCCCCTGCCACTTGCTGGGCCTGCTGGAACGAGGCTGCTGTGGCACCGGCCCAAGCACTGAAGGGAACAAGGTCTGGGAGGGAAGCCAGTCAACTGCTTGCGTGACCCTCACACTGATGCTTCAGGACTAGACCTCAGCCGCCACATCAAAATTGACTTCTGTATAGTTTTGATACAATTTGGGAATTTTCTAGAGGGACCCCAGGACTCGGAACAGATGGGCATTTTCCTTTGATGCTGACCCTTAAATTTTACACAGTTAGATCTTACTTGATTCACCCTGAGTGAGAATGTGTTGTTTACTCAATGGAGGGCTCGGAAAAGCAAGGGGGATATCCAGTCCTCAGGCGGCTGGCTAGCAGAGCTGGGTGATGCATGCTGGACACCGGAACGCCTCTGTACTATTAAGGAACACCCAGGGTGGGGCACCCTGGTTTACTACCTTGGGAGTAGAACCGGCCAAGGGGCCTCTGAGATCCTCGCTCCAAACAGAGGCAGCCACTCAGACTGTGCATACTTCTTTCTTAGTAGACTCTGAACTCCATCTCGGAGGAGACCCAGAGACCACGACGGGCCTTTGTACTTACCTTCCTGTAAGTACATGACCGCCTGGGAATAGTTCTGCAAAGCATGATGGGTCCTTCCGAGGCTACTATACGACACGGTCTTGGCCACCAAGTCGTTCATCTGTGCGGCGATGCTCAAGTGCTGCTCCTGGTAGACCACAGCCCTCTCGAAGGTGCCCAGGGACTCGTACGTCAGGCCCAGGTTCCCATAGGCTCGGCCCTGGCATGTGGGGTTGTTGGTTTCCTCCGCAATCTGCAGGTCAAGCTGGTGGTACTGCAGGGCTGTATCATATTCTCCCATCTGCTGGTAGACGCCCCCCAGGCCACAGGCCGCGTCGCTCTCCAGAGCTCGGTCCTTCATCTCTCTGGCGATGTTCAGCTGGCGTTCAAGGCAGGAAATGGCTTGTTCATAATTCCCTAATTGGCTGTGCAGACTTCCCAGCTCTCCGTAGGCCTGGGCTTTATTAAAGGCCTCCCCCAGCTCATGGGCGACTACGAGCCTCTTTTCAAAGCACACGAGGGCTTGCTGCAAGCTCCCCATTGCCCTGTGGGATGTAGACAGAAAAGCAATGATATTATTTTGTGCAGGTGCAGACATGCTAAAGCCCCTGAGAAAATGAAAAGCATTTGTCACTGTCACTTACTATAGAAGCTCTTAACTCCTCTTCTAGCTAAAATCTATCATGTGCCCTTAGAGTGAGATGCAGGGGAATTTCATAATCTGGAAAGCAATTCAAAAGTCATCCCTTAGTGACCTTCCCAAGAGCTTGAGATTCAATGGGATATACACCCCAGAGGAAACATAAAATATATTAATAGGCACAATGATAGCAAGTGAACTGTTTGGTTCTTCGGGCCTCCCAATTTCCACTACCGCTTAGACTATGTTTTTGAAATCACTTTACAATGGCCATAAATCTTTCACCCCGAGCCCCTCAGAGCACTATGTGGGTGATGATTTAGTTTGACCCTTGCCCTTGCTCCACTCCAGGAGCCCTAATCCCCTGCTTATCTGAAGAGGCCATATATTCTGCCAACACAGACACCTTCTTGCGTTCCCCATAATCAGAGGGAAAGCATCACCTTGGCCAACAGTGTGTCCTTTTGTGCTGCTAAGAGATGACATGATAAAAGTGGGGAGAACATGGATTTTGGTGGCACACAAAACCACTTGTGTGGGGCACACGGATTCCTTTCCCTGAGCCTCAGTTTCTGGATGATAATAAATCCCGCATCCCATAGCAGATGATAATAAATGTAGAGTAATCCAGGACTGCTATAAATATGAAGCAAGATATCTATGCAAGGTACCTAGCATGATGATATGTTTATTCATTCCTGCCATTATCAGGTGGCTTTCCCTAAAAGCAAGTAAACGAGGAACAGGTAATTGGTGGGTACAGATGATGTATGAAAAAACACATTCATGTAATGTGGGAGACATTCAGAAAAGATCGGTTGAATTGATTCATTCATCTTTCCCATTCTTATTATCTCTTTTATCCTGCTCATTATGGTGTAGTCATAAAGTCAGTACAGCTAGAGTCAGAGAGCCCTGTGTTTGCCTCTCAGCTGTCCCTTTGAAGCTGTGTAATCTTGGAGATTAACCTAACCTCTCTGGGCCTTAGTTTCTTCCTCCACAACACAAGAGCAATACTATCGTGTTTCCCCCAAAATAAAACCTAACCAGAAAATAAGCCCTAGCATGATTTTTCAGGATGCTCGTAATATAAGGCCTACCCCAAACGTAAGCCCCAGTGAAGATCATCAGCCAGACGTGACTGTTTGAATACGTGTAGATTTTTCTACATGAATAAATCAATAAACGTAGATTGTTGGAGCAAAAATTAATATAAGACCCGGTCTTATTTTCAGGGAAACACGGTATCCTCTGCTAAATTCACAGAATCATTGGAAGACCCGAATGAGATATGTATGAAAATGCTTTGTAGTTAGCAAACCACCCACCCGGTAGCCATAAAGTTGCCGTGACCGTCACAACTGCTCTTTGTGCCTCTGTCATTCTTACCTGTGTCCATTTCCGAGGCCCCGGTAAGCCTTGGCTTGGTCTTGCATGCGATTCAGACTCTGAGCAACGGACAAATACTGTTCGTAGTACTTGATCGCTTCCTCGTAGTCACCCAGGGCCTCGTAGCAATCCCCCAGGTTGCCGTAGGCCCGGCCCCTGTCGAGCACAGACTCGTTTCCACTCAGCTGCTGCAGCATGGCCAGCTGCTGCTCAAAGTAGCCAATGGCTTCTTCCATCACGTTCATGTTCATCTTTGTGATGCCCATGTTGCCATAGACCTGGGCTTCCAGGCTCGGATCCTTCAGCTTCTGCCCTAGATCCAGCTGCTCTTCGTAGCACTTGAAAGCCATGGTGTATTTCCCAAGGGCCATGTAGACGGCAGCCAGGTGCCCATGGGCTCTGCACTCCCCCGGCAAGTCGCTCAGCTCCTGATAGACCTCCAGTTCCTGGGTGTGATAACCCAAGGCCTTGTCGTATTTCTGGATCATTCGGTATGCAGTGCCCAGGGCCGCATAGGCACTGGCCTCCAGTCGTCTATCCTTTACATGGTGAGCTAAACCCAGCTGCTGCTCATAGAATTTTATTGCACCATTTATATCTTTTTTACAGATGAATATATCGCCCAGGTTCCCTAGGGCTCGAAATTTCGCCTGGGAATTATTCAGGGACTGAGCGAGAGACAGCAGGTACTTCTGACACTCCTCAGCTTTGCTGAAGTTCAGCAGAGCCTTGAAGGCCAGGCCCAAGTTGCAGTAGGCTTTTGCTTGGCTCAATTTGTCGTGAAGGTCTTTGGCCAGTGCCAGGTCCTGCTCATAATACTTCACGGCCTCCTGGTAATTGCCAAGGCAGTAGTGGGCGTAGCCGAGGTTGTGGCAGACCTTCCCTTCGCCTTCCATGTCTTGAAGGTCAGGAGAGAGCCGGAGGTACTGCTCATAATAGGGGGCGGCTTGGACGTACTCCCCCCGAGAGCAGTGGAAGTTGCCCAGGTTGCTGAGGGCCCGGGCTTCGCTCTGGATATCACGCAGCTCCCGGGCGATGTTCAGGTGGTTCTGATAGTGCTGCAGGGCTCGGTCGTGGGCCCCCAGGGCCTGGTAGGCCACAGCAAGGTTCCCGTGAGTGGACGCCTGTGAGGCACGGTCATTGACCTCCATGGAGATCTGCAGCTCCTGCCGGTGGTACTTGACCGCCTGGTCGTACATGCCCAGGGCGTTGTAGGCATTGCCCATATTCCCGTAGGCACGGCCCTGGGCCGCGTAATCACTCAGCTCCTGGGCGATGCACAGGTGGGTCTTGTGGAGTTTCAGTGCAGTGTCATAGTCACCTTTCATCTGGTGTATAATTCCTGAGAAAGAGAATCAAAGAACAGAAAAAGGTTAGAATAACTGATTAGCGATTTGGAAAAAAATGTAATTTGCAACTCAATTTATACTCAGATACACTCCAGATGAATTAAGGAGTTTAAAATAACAGAAGGTAGAATTAAATATTTATTAGCTCTCCAGAGGGGAGCTAGATTTCTATGCTTTGAAGCAATAACAACAACAAGAGGACGCTGACAGATTTGATTATGAAAATAAGATGTTTTGTACTACAAATGTATATCTAAAATTAAAAGGCAAACACAATATTGGAAAATATATGAAACATATGAAAAAATTCAATAGGTATTGTTGATAAAGGCAAATTCAGTTTGATTTAAAAAGATATCAAGACCCCAACTTACTAAAATAGGCAAAGAATAGTCAGTGTGTGCAGACAACTCAGATCCAAGAATATCCGATATAGAGTAACCAGAGGGGAAAATGCTAATTTCTTTTGATAATCAAAGAAATACAAAATAAAGCAACCCTGAAGTACCATTTTACTTTTACTAAATTAGCAAACAAAAAATTTAAACAACAACCTGTACCGGTGAGGTTGCCCTGAAATTGGTCAACACATCAACTGACCTACACTGGATCAGCCTTTGGAGAAGCAGCATGGCCGAGAACCACAACCCCAGTCCTGCTCAGACCCTGCAATGGGGATGTAGTATTCTAAGGAAATCCTTCAACAAGTGCGAAAGCTGTACGTATAACAATCTTCACTGCAGCAGTACAGAGTAGTGGAAAAGCAGAATCATCTTCAGTAGCAAACACTGGGGGACATATATCAATTCAATAGAGGACTATACAGTCCTTTAAAAAATAATTATGGGGCCAGCCGAGTGGCGTGTTGGTTAAGAGCTTGGGACACCAGCTCTGAGCAGCAGGGCCCCGGTTCGGATCCCACATGTGGGCCAGTGACTCTGCCCTCTACAGCTAAGATGGTAAACAACAGCTCGACCTGGAGCTGGGCTGCCGTCAGTCGCCGGTGATGGCGTAGGCTGCCCTGCTGCAGTGGGCTGCCATAAACTACCGTGTGTGGCCGGCAGCCAGTGTGAGTGGCCGGCAGCCAGTGTGAGCTACTATGAGCCACTGTGAGCCGCCATCCAGAGGCCGGCAACTGATCTGCCTCACTCGGGAAGAACACAATGATAATGCCAACATGGGCCAGTGAAGCAATGTCCTCCACAACTAGACTGAAGAACAAAAGGACAGCAACTTGTCTGTTCCCTTTCCCCCGATTCCCCAACGCTGTCCCCCTGCCCCAATTCCCCAATAAAATCTTAAAAATAATAATAATAATTATGAAGTCTATGCAGAAAAATGGGGGAAAACAAATTCTTACAATAATGTTAAGGGCAGAAAACAATGCTGCATGCTCCCTGTGACAACCAGGGGGAAAAAAATGTGTGCACATGGACAAGACCTTGAGGGGATTATGCAAAAAAAGAAAGTTGCCTTGTTAGGTGATGGGATTTGAATGATCTTTGTTCCAAAATTTCTTGTAATTCTGCTATATAGCTTTTACTGTAATTATAACAGCATTTGAAACAATCCTCATGAACTATGCTCTAGCTGCTAAGCTACTGTTTTCACAGTGAGATATGTCATAAATGTAAAAGTAGTTCCAAATGAGCATAAAAGTAACTTGGAAGGTGTCTTCAAGGTGAGCCTGGTTCATCTCAGTTGGGGCTGGCTGAAAGGCACTGGAAAGGGTGGAGGGAACCTAGTAAGCAAACAGGTTTCTCATTGCCCTTGGTTCTGAACACGCTTTTCTATGCATCAACGTGGGGGTTTTGCAGTGGTGACCAAAACCTGCAGAAGTACAAAAACTCAAACACACACAAAGATTCAAAAACACCAAGATGGGTTCTTGTTAAAATGTCTGAACTGAAAATAGAGCCATTGAGAAAGAAAGCTATCAAAATCCAGTCTCAACAATTTGCTTATATCTATGATGAACTTTCATCCATCCATCCATCCATCCATCCATCCACCCACCTAAACACTGACCCAGCAAACATGAACTGAGTATTGTATACTAAGCCTTGTGGCAGGCAGCAGGGGTAGAGGGAGACATGAAGACGGGAGTCTGTCCGCAGAAAGCACACAGGGCCATAAGGGAGAGATGAAACAGAGTTAGTATACATAATAAATGCCAAGGTGAGGTGGGGACAGCAGAGCATGTCAGGGCCACCCCTCTGGTCTTGGCTTCCTCCCCTGCGTGCTATGGAGCCCTGCCCTGCACAGAGTCAGGCCCTCTCAGGGCCCAGCCATCTCCTTGACATTAACTGGGCTTAGTAAATCATTTAGTCTCTCTGAGCTTTTTTAAGTTCACCTATAAAATGAGGAAAATAATCATGATACCAACTTTAGAGGGTGGTAGTAAGGATCAAATGAAATAGTCTATGTGTAAGTGCACTGTAAACTATAGAGTGACATTCAAATATTAGTTATTGAAATTATTATATGCTTCTGGGAAAGGGCATTCTGGAGATGGTAAAGATTAAAAAGCTATGTCTATTCTTCTGTGTATTTTCCTGTATGCATATTTCAAAATTTAAAAATAAGAAATCATGGTACTCTATGCAATGCAATAACATGGTACATTAAAAATGGTAAAGTAGAAGGATATATGTATACATGGAAAAAGTTACAATATATTAATGGGATATATGGTTATAGAACAGTAATATTTTTATTAAAACATTAATAGGATATGTGTATATACTTATATGCTTACATTTATACATACACATACAGCATCAATTTATTTAAATGTTAACAGTAGTAATTTTTTTTCCTTTTTGCTTATCTGTATTTATCTGTTCTTTCTCCGATGAATGCATAACCCTTGGTTTAAAAGTTACTGAAAGTATTTTTGAAACTCTAGTCCAATAAGTGGAGTAATATGCCTAAGGATTGGGTCATGGTCACTCCCCTAGGTTGGAGACGTCACTGGCCTCCTAGCTGAAAGGGTCAGAGGTTTCCAGAGCCTGTCTCGAGACTAGAAACTCTAAGTTGCCCAAGAGTTCATACCTTAGCATCACCTGGAACCCTTTCAGTGGTGAAAAGCTACTAGCGACAGAAACATTTCAGTTCTAAAGCCATGCATTTGTCGTGTACCCTTACATTGTTTTTCTCTAAAGAGAAAGAAATTAAGATTTCACATTTCCAGGTATCCTCGGAGGAAGTGAATTATTTACTCCCTCTCTCCTCAGCTTCTGTATTTCTGAAACGAGGGTCAAAATATCTGCCCAGCCATGAGTCAGTCCATAGCTATGGACAGAGCCCGAGCTGGGGAAGCAGCTGCAATGCCCAAACCTCCCCCTGGGCACTTTCTCTCCCTGTGATGTCTTTGCATTGATTTTTTCCCCCACAGCTTTTGGATTTCACTGTAATGATTTTTAAGCCAATACAATCACTAGTTGGTCGCTAAGACGATGTTGAGAGGAAGCAAGCAGTGTGAGACCTTCAGAAAAGGCAATCAGAGGAACCTGGGGTTTCTGCCTGCTCCCTCCCACCAGACACAGGCCTCCTGCTGGCCTCCCCACTTCCCCACTGGTACCCCATCCGACGACGGATGCTGGCTGAGTACGTGGAAGGCACACTATGATGGAAAAGGGACAGAACTGTAAGTCAGGAGTGCTCTTTTACAAGCCTGGCTCCCACCTCATTCCGCTGAGTATCTCTGAGACAGTCACTTTATGCCTCTGAGCCCTTTCTTCTTTTTTTAATTGAAAACTTTTTGGTGTGTTTTTTTTATCATCTTATTAATAATGTCAGGCTATAGTCATCCCAAAGAAATGGTATGAGAAACATACTAGTGTATGCCAATAAGCTTTGTAAACTCTAGCATGCCATCTAAAGGTGGCCTGAGCAGTATTTAGAGAGTGCGAGAAGGGCAAAGGAATTCTGTCTCTTCGTCTTCTGGCCTGACAGTCTGGCCTAGTTAGGAGGGAGCAGTTGGGACGATAATGGCTACCCAGGGTTCAATGATTTGTGAAAGAAACTGCCTGCTGGTGATGGCAAAATGATCTGATCCTCAGCCAGCTCGCCCGCACACTCTCCTTTTCTCCTCCCCCTCCTTCTCCTCGGACTCTTCCAAGGGTCTAGAAAAAATCATAGGAAGAGTCTCAAAACAAAGACTCCTGGACACAGGCAAAGGGAAGAGGGGATGGACCTGGCTGGGCGGGAAGTTTTTCATCTGCCCTGTGTCTCCGCTGTCCCAGGCGCTGCCAGCCCAGAGAATTCTGAACGGAACATTACACGCTCTTGGCAGCCTTTCTCTTTGTTGAGGCAACATGAAAGCGGCCCCGTGAGCTGCCAGCAGAGTGACTGCACACGCTGAGGAGATAATCTGCAGATCCTCCTTAGCTTTGGAGACCACAGCTTGATTTTCCAAGGCCGTCACTCAGATGAAGACTTACAGAGGGCCTGTCAGCAGGGGTGCACGAGGTGACAATGCGCTGCTGGGAGGGGAACTAAATGAAGATTAGTGGGGCAGAAGAGCTCACAAAGCCCGTTCTCACAAGGGTGTGTGGGGAAAGGACACGTGGTTATAGACTTGTACATCAGCACAGTAGGCCTCCACCCAGACGTCAGGAGTGGTCACTGCCACGAGAATAACACCTGCTTCAAAGCACTGTCGTGCCGGCCGAATGGCTCAATTGGTTAAGAGCTCGCTCAAGAGTGCGAGCTCTGAGCAACAGGGTCACCGGTTCGATTCCCGGCCCGAGCTGAGCTGCCGCTGAGCTGCCAACAGGTGGCAGGATGGCTCAGCTAAAAACAAAAGCACTGTTGTGAAGGTCAGGTAGATCATCCTTATAGGAAGCTGGCACAAGTGCCAGGGACACAGTATGTGCTCACTTGCATTTTGCTTTTATTATTAACCATTACCAGCAAAGACCAAGGGAGGTGTGACCAGGGCAAGCCGAGCAGGAGAATTTCTACTGAAACCAGAACATGCAGCACTTTA